TTAGTTTTGGTGTATATGCATTTATCCGCTTCTACGAAGCAAGCATTTTTGAGTGTCATTGTAGTCCGAGGGATAAACGTCTCTTAACGATATAAACAACATTGTTCTGCCAAAGTCTTTTTTCTTTTGCTGTTTTTTTACATTGACATTTGTAAAACCTTATTTCATTCGTTAGCCGCGATCTCCAAAACAGACGATGACCTAGAAAGCGGTATTTCGTTGAAATACCTGAAACCAGGGCTAATACGGAACAAATATCTCACAGACCAATGAAGTCTTAAATGAGGGTCTTACTAAAACTAGCTTTACAGTAATATTTTTAGTGGTCAACTCCTATAAATTTGTTCTGAAATTATTGCACCGAAAACGCCTACTATGATATCCCGCCCAGCATGAGATTTGGGAGCTCTGTGGCCACTTCATGTTTTCTTGCTAGCATGTTACAAAATTGTTATATGTATGCATACACGACCACGCTTTACTGTTGAAAATGAGTGTTGTCTCAAATCAGGTTTTGACATTTTCCCTAAAATCAATCTATAAAATTGAATACTATTGTCTGTATATATATAATAAATAAACTCACAGATCTTCGTTTCTAAGAAAATATGAAATTAAGATAATGAAACTATGCCATTTTTGTAACAACATGTTCATAGCCAAATGCCAGTTTTATTGAAGTATTGTTTCATTAGAAATGTCAGAACAAAACTATACATAGAAATCGTAAGTCATGTAAATATGTTGAATATTCGAAAGTGAAGAAGTTTTAAAATCATTATCGTGGCCAAAAAATGTTTTTTTGCTGTTTACACTATTTAGAGTGAATCGAACATATTCCAGCATATAGGGTCTGTTAAATATGATATTGCAATTTACAAACGACGTCATAGGTTACGGATTACATTTATTTTAATATCTCAATAAAGTTATCACTCACAAATTTGTGTCGAATGGGCGATCAATTTTGAGATAGAGTAGCTATGGACGTTTTACAAAATAGGAAATTTATCAATTATGATACAATAGTTAAACAACAAATCAAAGTAATGACGATAAACGAAATTTTACGATATCACGATCAAAATCAAATAGACTGCATTTGAGCTATTGAGTGGAGATACCTCAGCTTTGTCGGTTTCAGTTCCATATGAAAAACTTAACTGTCAACCTAACGGCAAGTTGTACATACTTTGATCTTTGGTGGGCCGTAAACTCCTACATGAGCATTTGCCGCAGTCAGTTTGTGGACCGCAATGTCTTATATACTCGGATGTTTGCATCGGAACATTCCTTGTAAGGCGTTGTGAAATCCTTCTACAGCGTTTGTTGTTCTTGGGGCCGAAGGCACCATTTCAATCTCTTTGGCATAGTTCCACAATCGAGGGGGAAATCTTGTTTCTCTTGACGTGAACCCACTTGAGGTCCACGAATGTAGGTAGATTCAAAATATTGCAAAAGTTGATTGCATTCGGGCAAATCTTGAAAGGTGTCGCCAAAGCAAGGGGAAGACTTCGGCAACCTCGTTAATGGGAACAAAAGCCAGAAGCTTGCCAAACTTCTAATTTCAGATTGAAAGAAGGTAAACATTCAAACTTCTCTTTAATCCGATAGAAACCAACTTTTCGAAATAGCTTGTGACAGGTGAAAATAACATTCTTTAAAATCGGCCAGAGGAAAATGTGCATGGAATGCATTGATAGCTGCTATTTCAAAAATCAACAATGATTTTGGTGGGGTTAGCATTTGGGAAAATGATTTCAACGCTTCCAACTTCTGAACGTATGTTTCTTGTCGCTTGTCTCGTAATAGGAAATATATATACGCATGGTGGATAGGATGCGCCCACTTTACAGTGAATTGTTATACAACTGGAAGGAAAATATCGGGCACCACATCAAATGTACCCGTCGCCAAGATATGGGTCACTATCTAGATGTGCAAGTAGTGATCGATCTCCAATGGCCATTATCCGATGACGATCCTCCGAGCCAGTGTCATGCAAAATGATATCTAAATATTCGCTCGGAAATATCAAAGCTTGCACTTGTAGGATTCGTACGTGAACAATTTTTCTGTCGCCTTACTCTGCGTATATTGGCCTCCAGAGTCGACTTGCCTGGCAAAGCGCATTACTACATCTGTTGATCTATTATTCAATACTTCACCTAAAATATATCTTGTCGATGTATTTGAGGGTGTTGATGCTGCTTCTTTTAATGTTGCACGGATGATCCCAACTTCAGTCTTAATGCTGTCGCCAGAATGACTGTGATATCCTAGTTCTTTTATTACATTTTCACCGATTGTAACAACAGTCGATTTACATCGAAATTTCCTAAACTGACGCCAGCGCCAATGAGTAGCATCTGAAACCCGATCATTTCGCTTACAATATTTCGTGGCCCTTTGTAAATCAGTAAGTCGTTTCCTCTTGTGGTCTTGGAAAATGTAGGCGCCATGTTTCCAACTTATTTTCGCAAGGGACTTGTCATCTTCGCAGCTGCAACGTCCTAAAGAAACAGTTTGGAATTGTCTGCGAGGGGAAAAGGGCATTGATGCGAGGAAAAACTTGCGCGGGATCGAACTAACACATCAATTAAAATCCTTGCTCCGCGCTCTTCAAGAGTCGTCGACCGTTCAAAGCACAAATCATACTCCCCAATTTTGGCTCGCATTCTACAGCGGAAACATTTTGTCCATTGAGTCTTATGATATCGACAATTGCGATGACAATGCAAGACGGAGTATAATATAAATATATAATATAATTAAATATATAGAAAATAGTTGTAATAAGCCTTCGAGTATATAATCGAGAATTCCATGGTGTTTTCGCAACGTATGCATTTGGACAAAAATCCTAAGTGTACCTTCCAATCCTATATACTATAGTATATAGCATGGAAGGATAAGGGTGTATATGTAAAGACGCATATATCCGTTAATGCAAATGCCCATGGGTGTAGATGTTCATGGGTGCAAATGTCTGTGGGTACAATTGTACGCGGGTGTAAATGTATGTAGGTTCAAATGTACGCGGGTTCAAATGTACGTGGGTTCAAATGTCCGTGGGTGCAATTGTACATGGGTTCAAATGTCCGCGGGTGCAAATGTTCGTGGGTTCAAATGTACATGGGTTCAAATGTCCGCGGGTGCAAATGTACATGGGTTCAAATGTACGCGGGGCAAACGTCCACGGGTTCAAATGTCCGCGGGTGCAAATGTACATGGGTTCAAATGTACGCGGGTGCAAACGTACACGGGTTCAAATGTCCGCGGGTTCAATCTATATGCGGTGCTAAAAATCCATGGGGTGGAAATGTATGGGTTTCAAATGTCCGTAGGTGCAAATGTCCATAGGTGCAATAGAATACAGGTGCAATTGTCCTGGTTCAAATTACGGTTCAGATGTACGGGTTCAAATGTACGTAGGTTCAAATGTGCTGTCACCTTTGCTTTCATATTGCATCAGTTTCTATGCCTCACAGAGATTATATTATATTCTTGAATTATCTTTTTGTGTCAATTTACGTTGTCTCAATTTTTAATTGATATTGAACTGTGGAGTTTTGCATTTCCAATAAAGTATTAGAATGTCCTTAATGCATTCTATTATCTTAAATATTCAGCAAATGTCTTCAATTAGACTTCTGTGGTAAGGATGATCGACTTGAACAACTTGTTAGATCACCTAATGGCCCCTTCTTCAAATAGATACTTTTTGTTATATTCTTTATACAAACTCGCCACAAGCTGGCGAACATTGAGATTTTCGTGGTAAATTATCACTAGCTATTTGGTCTTGCTGCAGATATTTTGCGAGCGTGAAAATTTCCGATTCTGCAGGCACATATATAACGCGAGTAATCGTACCATCGATATCTCTCTGCTTAGATTATTTTTAATTCTTCATCTTCTTGTGAATATATGCTTTATGACATCATAATGAGTGAGACAAAACATAATATAACATGTGTTCTTTTTATTCCAGAATCTAGAAAACAAGCGATACACTGAAAGGACAGCTCCATCTACCCTATTTCGACGAATGTGGAGTCTGAACAAGATATAAAACTCTTATGATGGAGAAGATCAACAAGATAAACAGAGAGGAAAAGGATAATAAAATATCTGAGTTCAGCTTTCTAATTAGTCTTCTTTGAACCTTTCGGGAAGCTGATAAAGAAAGCTTTTCATCCGTTTCATCGGTTTATCGGAGACTTTTGACAACCCGCCTAATATGCAAGGAATAATAAACTAAACGATTTATTATTGTTAATCACAAACAAAAAGACCCGGCTTCTTGTCTGTGCCTCAGCTTGATGTGACATAGAATTCGCCTTAGAACTGGTTCATTGGGAAGGTTATCTGCTAAAACAATAAACATAATCAGCACATAACATATTGACATAAAAGTATATACAGATTGAAATCATACATAATATAAGTATATGCATACCGTATGTTCTGATTCTTCACGCAATACAGCCATGCGAAGTATACTCCAAAGTAACTTTAATTCAGCTTGTATGACTAAAGTAGCAAATCTGCAGTGTTAGCCCACTATGCTAATTTGCTTATTATACAGTCCCAACCTGCAGTCGAGAATTGTGTTTTATTCGCAATTGAGAATAAGTTATAACTTTTTATACATACATATTGTATACTTTACTCTCACTCAAGAATACTACAACCAATAATGAACACCAAAACACCGACTTCCACCAAATACTAAGCCAGACTGAACCAAATAGTCTGATCCGCGCGCTTTCAATTTTGCAATTATCGAGATTGATTGCTAAACTATCAAAATACCACTTTGTTCCGTCAGATACGCCCACATTGGCTGCGTAATACGTCAAACGTCTTCATCGATAACATACCTCAGCCATTGTCAAGCGATGTTCCGCGGAACACTGGTGTTTCGTAAGGGGCATTCAGGTGTTTCTTGGTCCTGGCACTTTTTCTATTTGCAAGACCGTTAATTCCTGCCTGTTTTGAGAAACAATTGAAACGAGGTTCTGCCGCTGTCTATTTTTGCTTTTAATTAAAGTCACAGCAGAGTGCCCATGTCACTGTGCACAGAGCCATGGAGATGCAAATGACAAGATAATTTTTGATGGATTTTGCACCGATGATGGAATTGAGTTATAGAGAATAGAGATATATGATTGTATGTAGTTATGATTGAGTTATAAGCAGATAGCCAAAACTCGTCCAAACTTGATTTTCTGTTAGCCTAACTTATTGCGCACGTCAACATGGTGGAAGTTGGACAGCTTGTTTACAAATACATTATGACAAAACAGTGCAATTACGACGTGACAATCGCCCTTATTCAATCGTATGCAAATGCAGTAATATTACCAGTCTAATACTCAAGTTTTACAGGATTGCCCGTTGTATGCATGCCTTGGTGTATAACCAATAGCTCTTTTTCTAAAATTTGAAAAAGATCCGCGGCAGAACTGTTAATATCTTGCGCCACACTAGTGTGCCCCGGCATACAGTTTGAGAAACGCTGCTGTATTTGCACCGCAGGTGCGCGATAATTTCCGCTCATCACGGATGCTCAGTCAGCGCCTATGGCAATCGCCGTGGTTTCGACGATGGATGCAATAGCTGCAATTGTAGATGCATCCCCACCCTCCTTGAGGCGCACGAGCTCGTTGAAATGTTCCAGCGACTTCCCATCATGATCCACCGTCCGAAGACAAATCGCCCAGCATTGACTAGGATTTGTCGATCGTGATCAATTGCAACCTGACACTGGACGCAAATTCCAATCTGTTCCTGAACTTCTTCAGCCTTGCGCGATTTTTCAGCATTATCGGACTCTTCGATCTCATCATGGCCCCTGACCTATACGCCATTGTATGCGTACAAAATAATCGGTGAAATTTTAGAAGCATTTTTGAATATTCTCTGTTTAGGGAGACAACGGAAAATTGTTCAGCATCTTTTATACGCCTTTAACTTCCACTTCCTATAGTCTCCATAGTTTTATCTAGAGGTAGCCAACAGCAAGCATATGTTCTGCACTGCTATCGTGCTTCTCCAGTCCACGGTTAGTTTCCACAGGCTTCGATCACGAAGACAATCCGCCAAATGCAAATGCAGACTCCGACTTTTCCGTAGAAGTACTGACATTTTGGTAAGGGTAGAATATACTATCTGCGAGTACAATTATATTCCCTTTCTCTCTGTTTAGTTTTTTTAAATTTTATATATGCAACTGCTAATATATTGGCATTGGAGTGAAATAAAACATATAATCTGTGTTTTATTCCATTCCAAATACCTAGCGATACACACGAAAGAGCCACCGTTTAGCTAGATTCTCGGATACGTATATGAAGTCGAAGAAAGCTGTACCATTTTTTAAGTATGAGGCTTGGCTCCGTTTTAGCCTGACTATATAATCTATTCACGTATTTTCCCAATTTTTGACTTTACAAGATGAATGCTTCGTAACTCACTTTTTGTCCTGCCAATAACGCTTCTTTGGTTAGTGGTGTTGTATGACAGCTGACAGAATGTATGTCGTATGTTGCTATGGCGCGCGGGCCGTAATTTGCCATGTGAGATCTAGATTTTAGATTCCAAATTTTACTAGATTGTGAACAAAATATCTAGATCTAGCTACAATACACCTCCAGCGACAGCCCCAATGTAGGGTAGTAAGCTGTGAATATTAGACTTTGAAAAAATATATTTGAATGGTTAGTAAAATCGACTAACTTCCCTCTCATTTATTATCGTTTTCAATCACCTGAATTCGCTACACTATCGGTTCTGTATGACGACATAATGAAGAAGTCGGAACGAATAAATTTTAGTTTCATTCAAGATAAACAGCGATATCCAAACTAGAGATGTACCGATACCACTTTTGTCGCCGATACCGATACCGATCCGATACCAGCTAAAAACGCCGATACCGATACGCCGATACTACAGAAAGGCCGATATATTCCGATACCGATACTATGTAATTATTACTTAATTAAGGGTGTTGTGTACGGCAGACGGGTTAAAACAATGGTCTTTGAGCGTTGTTCTCAGTACACATCATTTCAGATCGAAAAAAAGATATATCACATAATATGAAACTAATGTTTGGTGTTTGCTTTAATTGATTAAGATAAATTATACAGTAACGCTAATAATCTCGGTGTTCAATTAGAAAACTCATAAGCCGGGATGTCCAATTTGAATTTAATGTTAATATCGCGACCTTCGAATATCGTTATTCGTGTTTAAAAGAATAACGAATAGCACCCACACATTCTTGCGCCGCCGTCCTACGTTCAAATTAAAAGCATTTTACAAATATTTTATTTCGTGGCTAATCGTAATCGTCGACGCAATAAGTCAAAGCCAACATGAAAGAATATCAATCAGCACCGACAAAAAGAAGGCCTACTTATAACCGTCGAGGATGTTTTTTTACTTCACTATTTTATAATATTTTACAATTGCTATCATATATTTTGAGACAGTCTAGGACTAGGCGGTCATGTCTATATATCTATAAAGAAATTGTGTAGTTAAACAAAATTAAAAATAATACCTGCGTAGAGGAATTATTGTGTCGGAATTTAGTTTATCAATGTCGACAGACTAAATGACACTCGTACTCGTACGACAAACAGTCAGAATTTATACCCGTGCCAAAAGTCTATGTGCCGTTAATAAGAACCCCAATTCCACTGTATGATTTAAAAATGGGCTCCCAGTTGGTTTTGTTATATGCTGTGTTGATATATTTCTTCGTTATTACTATGTAATATTAAGAATGTCAATATAAAAATTTGACAACGAAAGTAGCCAAATTGGTTGGGCTAGTTTGGCTGATAAATAGCTAAAAACAATCCTATGCTCTCGCGGAGGTGGGGACATGTATGGCTCATAGCTCACGATCTATCCAGACAAAAAATAAATTAAAAAGTAGTATTCCAACTAATCTTTTAAAACATTCTGGGCCATATCAAAAAGATAAATATATCGGAAATATCGGCCTTAATCTAACCGATACCGATACATAGCCGATACCGAAAAAATGGCCGATATTACCGATACCCGATACCGATACATCGGTACATCTCTAATCCAAACTAGCGACCGCTCGTCTACGCATTACCTCACAAGTGTGAAGTCCAAAAACATGGATTCCTACAAGGAGGAGAAGAAGTCCAAGAAGATATACACTACAGAGAACAAACTTACAATAAAAGATGTGAGTTTAGCTTTTTTATTTAGGCCGTAACTTCCTGTACGCTGATAAGGGAGAAATTTATTGCTTTCACACAACGATAGTAATGTTTCGTTTGTTTTAGAATCGCTCAATACTTGAATACAAACTCATATCTGCAGGTTAGCATATATATCCTTCAAGTGCAATATCTTAGATATGTTTTATTTCAGACTATTTTGAAATCAGGAATTTTTATTCGTATTTTATTGCAAATTGTCACCATTGATTTCCTTTATCATATAATTATATTATGTTACGACTTAGCGACGAAATTATTAATTCGTTTAAACTAGTGCATATTTGAATTATTTTGATTTATTCCAAACACCTTACGGTTATATGGTACTATCCACTCAATCGCATTACTGTGCAGAGATAATTTAATCCTGGGAAGTTGTTTTCGTTCGAACCAAAGGCTACGAGGCCAGCCTACATTGAACGCTAACAAAAACAGTAGTCGAGGCTTCTATCGCAAACTTGAAAATATATTTCTCTCCCAAAACCTATCCGTTTCTCAACGTACTTCGAGTTTGTAGACAGCAAATAATGTGCTAAGCTTATAACAAAACAGAAAAAAAATGAACGGATTTTTAATAAGATTTTTTTTTCTCCAAAAATGATAAGAAAACATATTATTTATTATTTCAGATCACGACTAACCCAATATAAGTATACTATGAACATCGTAGAACAATTGTATTAAGATAAGAATTCAATATAGCATTATATTATATAAAAGTTCGATACATTACCAAAAAAATATTTCACAATGGCTAACTGCTATAACCATTCATAGAAATCCTATTGAGCTGGGCCATTCCACTACCCAATACGAAATTATTCTCACCAATTTACAGCAAATGTATGATAAAGTTTCATATTGGATTGCGTTTCTAGATTAAAATCAAAGTCATTCCAAGCAACCTTGCAAGGTCTTAGTGATAGACTATTGCACCTGGAACAACATCCCACTATTAGTCAAACGTATTTTTTTTTATTCAATTTCACTAAAAGGAATAACAGTATTATGGAACGAGTGGCGTTAGTCAGATTCATAGAATCCATGTCGAAGAGAGCAGTCAAATCATCAGAGTCAGTGACTGTTGTTGCCTAATGTAATGGCTGATCAACTCAATCGCAAATCAGTGGTTGTAGACCTTTGAAAACACGTCCACGAAATAAGTCATGTCCCAAATCAAAACGATTTATTCCCAGAATTTCGTACCACGAGTTTCTGTCCCAATAGCATTAAAATTAGAATCGGTATAATTTCTTGATAAACAGTCAACACGATGATACTTGAATAGGAATCGAGAGGGTTATCTCCTGAAACAATAAACTTAATCATTTATATATCATTTTTCATTTATATATTTCCGTTCAATCATTTTTAAGTACACATTACGGAACTTCGGTTCTGATTTTCACAATGTCTTCGATAGTCATAGGATCAAGTATAGGGCAGCCTATAATTTGAGAATTTTGTAACACAAATCATGTCATTTCGAAGTTATGGTGAGTTTCAAAAATTGGTATTCAAGTCACTTCTCGATTTACTACAAGAACTTTGTACGCTCTTCGTGTTTTGGTAAGTCCTACAGACTCAAGAACTAAAAATTAGGATATTTTCAAACACTGATCAGTTAACTCCGGTCAATTGATGTAGATTATTCATAAATTATGGGCCATAGGCTTATAAAAGCTTTTTTAATATTCGTTATAAGGTTAGCACACAGTACACAGAAGGTCATCAAACTTATCTTGTTATTTAAATATTTAAATTATATTCTTGAATACCTTCTTGTGTCAATTTACGCTGTCTCAATTTATAATTGATATTGATATTTTGCATTTGTTATAAAGTACTAGAACGTTGTTAATACATCCCATTATAATAAATATTCAGCAAATTTCTTTGCTTAGACTTCTTTCGTACGAATTATCGACTTGAACTATTTGCTAGCTCACCTAATGACCCTCTCTTCAAATAGATACTTTTTGTGATATTGTTTATACAAACTCTCTTGAAGCAAGCGAACACAAAAGTTTTTCGAGGTAAATTATCATAAGCTATTTGGTCTTGCTGCAGATATTTTGCGAGCGTGAAAATTCTGATTATACGGTCATTTATCAAACGAGTAATCCTACTATCGCTATCTCTCTGTTTCAATTTTTTTATTTTTTATCTATCTTCACCTGCTTGTGAATTTATTCTTTATGACATCATAACGAGAATATCGGTCAGAGACCGAAGACTTATCGATCGAAAGTTAGGGGATCCCCAAAGCAGCGCTCTTACTCCATAGTGACACCTTGTGTCCCATCACTAATTAATTCTGATTAATAACTCGCTAATTATACGACATAATTCGCCCAAAATCAATAGGCTTCTGGTCCGAGATATGATGAATGCACATGCAAAATCTGGAGCAGATTTAATCTCGCTTTCGTGAGATATCGCGTGCATCTAACAGACAGGCAGACAGACAAATACCTATCAACATACTTACCGATTAAAATCGATAAGTAATGAGTGGAACAAACATAATATAACCTTTTTTTTATTCTAGAATCTAAAAACAAGCGATACACTGAAAGCACAGCTCACCTACCCGCATTTCCGACAAATGTGGAGTCTGAAAAAGACACCAAATCTCTTATGACGAAGAAGATCAACAAGATAAACAGAGAGAAAAAGTATAATAAAAGATGTGAGTTCAGCATTCTAATTAGTCTATTTTGTAACTTTCGGGAAGCCGATAAAGAAAGTTTTTTATCGGTTTATCGGAGACATTTGACAACGCGTTCAATATGCAAGGGCTACTAAACTAAACGATTTATTATTATTAATTACAAGCAAAATGGCCCGGCTTCTTGTCTGTGTCTCAGCTTGGATGTCCCAATACAATTCAACATAGAACCGTTGCAATTTTTTGAAAATAGGACAACAAGATGATACACCAAATTGAATCTGGAGAGTTATCTGCTAAAACAATAAACATAATAAGCAACATATTGGCATAAAATCATATACAGATTAAAATCATACAATATATAAAGTATATAGATACCGTATATGTTCTGAGTCTTCACGCACTACAATTAGCGAAGTATACTCCAAAGTAACTTTAATTCAGCTTGTATGACTAAATTAGCAAACCTGCAGTGTTAGCCTACTATGCTAATTTGCTTATTATACAGTCTCAACCTGCAGCCAAAACTTGTTTTTCATTCGCAATTGAGAACGTTTATGTTGACCTCAAGTTATATTTTTGATACATACTGTTATTTCTTTCGGCTAACTCACGAATACTACAATCATTGGACACAAAAACACTGATTTACAACAAATACTAAGCCAGACTGAACCAAGTCGTCTGATCAGCGCGCTTCCAATTTAGCAATTATCGAGATTGATTGCAAAACTATGGACATACCACTTTGTTCCGTCAGATACGACCACATTGGCTGCCTAACACGTCAAATATCTTCATAAATAATATATGTCAGCGATTGTTAAGCGATGTTCCGCGGAGCACTGGTGTTCCGTGATAGGCATTCAGGTGTTTCTTGGTCTTGATGCCTTTCTATTTGCCAGACCAGTAAATTTCCGTTCAGGTAGATGCAACCATGAGAGTCTCACAAGAATACTTTCTTTCTTGCGCTTCTCCAAGATTCGCTAGATACGCCCACATTGTCTGCGTGAAAACGTCAAACGTCATCGCAAATAACATATGTCAGTGATTATCAACCGATATTTCGCGTAACACTGATGTTCCGCGCCATGCGTTCGTGTATTTCGTGGGGTTAACGCTTTCCTATTTGCATGACCGTTAATTGCCGTTAAAGCATATATGTAGTCATGAGAGGCCCACCAGGGTACTTTCGTTTTTGCGCAATATATAAAAGATATCTCCGTTGTTTCCACTAAAAATTTGTTTGAAGCGTCTTAGCGATTACGTACTGGCCGGCAGTGACCGTTTTGATGTAATGTACCATAACTAAAATAAGTCCGTGGGCATCACAAAGTTGCGTGCAACACGAGAGGATGCTTATCCCTGTATTTGCCATTGCAGGGTCCGCGTTAATATCCCGTTTCATATACCGGTGCTCCGTCAGCGCCTATGGCAACCGCCTGGGGTTTCGGCGATTGGAATTTGACAATGAACATTTTGACTTGAAAACAATATAATTTGAATGGTTTAGTTAAAATCGACTAATCTTTCACTTCTCATGTATCAATCGTTTCAATTCAACTGAATTTGCTATACTATTTGGTTCTGTATATGGCGACATAATGAACAAACAGAACGGACATAAATTTTGTTATTTTCATTTCAAGATAAACAAGCAATATTCAAACTAGCCAACCGTCGCTTTAACCGGCATACCGTCACATGCTTGGAAGTCCAATAACCTAAATTCCTACAAGGAGGAGAAGTGAGGCCAGCAAAATTATTACACTATGCAGAGTAACAAAACTTACAAGAAAAGATGTGAGTTTAGCTTTTTTATTTAGACCGTAACTTCCTGTACGCTGATGCGGGAGAAATTTAATGCTTCCACACAACGATAGTAAAGTTTCGTTTGTTTTAGAATCACTCAATGCTTGATCACAAGGTCATATCTGTAGGTTAGTATATATATCTTTCAAGTGCAATATCTTAGATATGTTTTGTTTCAGACTATTTTGAAATCAGGAATTTTCATTCGTATTTTATTGCAAATTGTCACCATTGATTTCCTTTATCATATATTTATATTATGTTACGACTTAGCGACGAACTTATGTACGAAGTTATTATTCCGTTTAAACTAATATGCGAAAATAATTTAATCCTGGGAAGTTGTTTTTGTTCGAACCAAAGGCTACGAGGCCAGCCTACATTAAACTCTAACAAAAACAGTAGTCGAGGCTTCTATCGCAAACTTGAAAATATATTTCTCTCCCAAAACCTATCCGTTCCTCAACGTACTTCGAGTTTGTAGACAGCAAATAATGTGCCAAGCCTATAACAAAATAGAAAATAATGAATAGATTTGATAAAAAAAAAATGTTTGCCAAAAATGATAAGAAAACTCAATAAATAATATTTCAGATCACCGCTAACCCAATATAAGTATATTATGAACATCGTAGAACAACTTTATTAAGATAAGAATTCAATATAGCATTTTATTATATAAAAGTTCAAAAGATTTCTAAAAAAACATTTGACAATTCATAGAAATCCTATTTGAGCTGGGCCATTCCACTACCCAATACGAAGTTATTCTCGCCAACTCACAGTAAATGTATGGTAAACTTTCGTATTGGATTGCGTTTCTACATTAAAATCAATATCATTCCAGGCAACCTTGCAAGGTCTCAGTGATAGACTATTGCACCTCGAACAACATCCCAGTATTATTAGTCAAAGGTATTTTTTTAAATTCAATTCCATTAAAAATGCGTCACTAAGCAGGGATAACAGTATTATTGAACGAGTGGCGTTAGTCAGATTCAGAGAATCCATGTCGAAGAGAGCAGTCAAATCATCAGAGTCAGTCAGTGACTGTTGTTGCCTAATGTAATGGCTGATCAACTCAAACCCAAATCAGTGGTTGTAGACCTTAGAAAACAAGCCCAAGAAATAAATTATGTGCCAAACCTAAACGATTTATTCCCATAATCTCGTACCTTGAGATTCTGTCCCAATGGCATTAAAATTAGAATCGGTGTAATTTGTTGATAAACAGTCAACAAGATGATACTTGAATAGGAATCGGGAGAGTTATCTCCTGAAACAATAAACTTAATCATTTATATATCATTTTTCATTTACATATTTCCATTCAATCATTTTTAAGTACACATTACGAAACTGCGGTTCTGTTTTTTCCCAATGTCTTCAACAGTCATAGGATCGAATATAGGGCAACCTATAATTTAATAAGTTTGTAACACAAATCATGTCATTTCGAAGTTATGGTGAGTTTCAATAATTGTTATTCGAGTCACTTCTCGATTTACTACAAGAACTCTGTACGATCTTCGTGTTTTGGTAAGTCCTACAGACTCAAGAACTAAAAATTAGGATATTTTCAAACACTGATCAGTTTACTCCCGCCAATTGATGTGGATTATTCATGAATTATGGGCCATAGGCTTATAAAAGTTTTTTTTTAATATTTGTTATAAGGTTATCACACAGTACACAGAAGGTTAAACTTATCTTGGTAAATAAATATGATTTGCTTTTCAATTGCATCAGTTTCTATGCCTCACAGAGATTAGATTATATTCTTTAATTATCTTTTTGTGTCAATTTACGTTGTTTCAATTTTTAATTGATATTGAACTGTGGAGTTTTGCATTTCCATTAAAGTATTAGAATGTCCTTAATGCATTCTATTATCTTAAATATTCAGCAAATGTCTTCAATTAGACTTCTGTGGTAAGAATGATCGACTTGAACAACTTGTTAGATCACCTAATGGCCCCTTCTTCAAATAGATACTTTTTGTTATATTCTTTATACAAACTCGCCACAAGCTGGCGAACATTGAGATTTTCGTGGTAAATTATCACTAGCTATTTGGTCTTGCTGCAGATATTTTGCGAGCGTGAAAATTTCCGATTCTACAGGCACATATATATTGCGAGTAATCGTGCCATCGATATCTCTCTGCTTACATTATTTTCAATTCTCTTCTTGTGAATTATGCTTTATGACATCATAATGAGTGAGACAAAACTTAATATAACATGTGTTCTTTTTATTCCAGAATCTAGAAAACAAGCGATACACTGAAAGGACAGCTCCATCCACCCTATTTCGACGAATGTGGAGTCTGAACAAGATATAAAACTCTTATCATAGAGAAGATCAACAAGATAAACAGAGAGGAAAAGGATAATAAGATATGTGAGTTCAGCTTTCTAATTAGTCTTCTTTGAACCTTTCGGGAAGCTGATAAAGAAAGCTTTTCATCCGTTTCATCGGTTTATCGGAGACTTTTGACAACCCGCCTAATATGCAAGGAATGATAAACTAAACGATTTATTATTGTTAATCACAAACAAAATGACCCGGTTTTTTGTCTGTGCCTCAGCTTGATGTGACATAGAATTCGCCTTAGAACTAGTTCATTGAGAAGGTTATCTGCTAAAACAATAAACATAATCAGCACATAACATATTGGCATAAAATCATATACAGATTAAAATCATACAATATATAAAGTATATATATAGATACCGTATATGTTCTGAGTCTTCACGCACTACAATTAGCGAAGTATACTCCAAAGCAGTGGTCGGCAACCTTTTTCAAGTGACGGACCGGTAAAGCCTGATCAAAATTTTGGCGGACCACCTTTATACAAACGAACTAAGCCTATGCAATAAATTATACGCATTAAGAAATTTACTAAAAACGACGGTGATGCTATTTAATGCGATATCTGTATTTGTTTGATGGCCATTAACTGCTCCCATATTCGAGACATTGACACACGTAACGTGTTTCTTACATCTAACCTACTTCAATATTATATGGTTTTTGTAGTTATCAATATTGAAAACCAGGCCTCACTTTAAAATTTCGGGTTAACATTTTGTTGGGGAGATCTTATTCGGACTGATGAGAGACATTCGTGTACGGGCGTAGAGAAAACAATTGACCCAGCATTATTGCGACATACTGATATGACAATTGTTTATGAAGTCAGACATGCTGCTCAATAGTGTTGTGCGGTGGTCGGCAAACTTCATGTCCTTGCGGGCCAAATTTACACATTTCCGGTAGCGCGCGGGCCGCAGTATTTCCGCCTTCGATATATTAAACTTCAAATTATGGCGCATTCGCATTGCTGTGTTAAAAGCCTGTCCCAATGAGATGTGTATGTGGCGTTTTTTGAATATATTATTCAACGATACATTGTTTTTATTTACTAATTATCAATGTGAAAGATGATGTTTTTATGGCAACTCGTCTTCCAAATGATAATCTGACAAGCGAGTACGAAATTTAATCTAAGTGTAATGCATTTCAGATACAGCTGCTCAAGGCCATATGTTCTTCCGAACGTGCACATTACATGTTTTAAACGGTCGCACAGCTGTGGCGCAGTCCCTGGTCTCGGAGCCGAATTTTCGACGACTCGTTTCATAACGAGTTTAGTTAAAACATTGAAACCCTTACCATCTGCAATGCTGACTGGGCATATCGAGCAAACCGGTTTTGTAATGCCCAAGAAAGAAAAATATTTTTCCGTTCAAGCACTTTGAAATGCTCGATCCTTTGTCGCTCCGTTTCTCCGACATTTTTAAATTTTAAAAATCGAAATTAACTCGAACGACATACAACTGACGCTACTTGTTACATAAGAAGCGCCGTGCAGCAGCACTTGTCACCACATACATCCGTGTAGAGACAATAATAAATTGGGATCAATTTTTGTTTTGTCGGGTCGTTCGAGAGCCGCAACAAATTAGCTCGCGGGCCGCATTTGGCCCGCAGTTTGCCAACTCTTACTGTTGTGTTTGTCTGGTTTACTGTTGAGTGCTGTTTTTCAGTTGTATGGCTTGTGGTTAGATTGTAGAGGTTTTATTACGGCCTTGTCTATTTTTGTGTCACCCCTCTGCGGACCGGCAGTAACCTTTTCGCGGACCGGCAATGGGCCGCGGCCCGGTGGTTGCCGACCACTGCTCCAAAGTATCTTTAATTCAGCTTGTATGACTAAATTAGCAAACTTGCAGTGTCAGCCTACTATGCTAATTTGCTTATTATACAGTCTCAACCAGCAGTCGAGAATTGTGTTTTATTCGCAATTGAGAATAGGTTTTAACTTTTATACATACATATTGTATACTTTCCTCTCACCCAAGAATACTACAACCAATACTGAACACCAAAACACTGACTTACACCAAATACTAAGCCAGACTGAACCAAATAGTCTGATCCGCGCGCTTTCAATTTTGCAATTATCGAGATTGATTGCTAAACTATCAAAATACCACTTTGTTCCGTCAGATACGCCCACATTGGCTGCGTAATACGTCAAACGTCTTCATCGATAACATACCTCAGCCATTGTCAAGCGATGTTCCGCGGAACACTGGTGTTTCGTGAGGGGCATTCAGGTGTTTCTTGGTCTTGGCACCTTTCTATTCGCAATACCGTTAATTCCTGCCTGTTTTGAGAAACAATTGAAACGAGGTTCTGCCGCTGTCTATGCTGTTTACAAATACATTATGACATAACAGTGCAATTACGACGTGACAATCGCCCTTATTCAAAAATATGCAAATGCAGTAATATTACCAGTCTAACACTCAAGTTTTACAGGATTGCCCGTTGTATGCATGCCTTGGTGTATAACCAATAGCTCTTTTTCTAAAATTTGAAAAAGATCCGCGGCAGAACTGATAATATCTTGCGCCACACTAGTGTGCCCCGGCATACAGTTTGAGAAACGCTGCTGTATTTGCACCGCAGTTGCGCGATAATTTCCGCTCATCACGGATGCTCAGTCAGCGCCTATGGCAATCGCCGTGGTTTCGACGATGGATGCAATAGCTGCAATTGTAGATGCATCCCCACTCTCCTTGAGGCGCACGAGCTCGTTGAAATGTTCCAGCGACTTCCCATCATGATCCACCGTCCGAAGACAAATCGCCCAGCATTGACTAGGATTTGTCGATCGTGATCGATTGCAACCTGACACTGGACGCAAATTCCAATCTGTTCATGAACTTCTTCAGCCATAGCTCAGACTCTTTCCTTGTGCGATTTTTCAGCATTATCGGACTCTTCGATCTCATCATGGCCCCTGACCTATACTCCATTGTATGCGTACAAAATAATCGGTGAAATTTCAGAAGCATTTTTGAATATTCTCTGTTTAGGGAGACAACGGAAAATTGTTCAGCATGTTTTATACGCCTTTAACTTCCACTTCCTATAGTCTCCATAGTTTTATCTAGCGGCAGCCAACAGCATATGATCTGCAGTGCTATCGCGCTTCTCCAGTCCACGGTTAGTTTCCACAGGCTTCGATCACGAAGACAATCCGCCAAATGCAAATGCAGACTCCGACTTTTCCGTACAAGTACTGAAATTTTGGTAAGGGTAGAATATACTATCTACGAGTACAGTTATATTCCCTTTCTCTCTGTTTAGTTTTTTTTTGTTTTATATATCCAACTGCAACTGCTAATATATTGGCATTGGAGTGAAATAAAAGATATAATCTGTGTTTTATTCCATTCCAAATACCTAGCGATACACACGAAAGAGCCACCGTTTAGCTAGATTCTCGGATACGTATATGAAGTCGAAGAAAGCTGTACCATTTTTTAATATGAGGCTTGGCTCCGTTTTAGCCTGACTATATAATCTATTCACGTATTTTCCCAATTTTTGACTTTACAAGATGAATGCTTCGTAACTCACTTTTTGTCCCGCCAATAATGCTTCTTAGGTTAGTGGTGTTGTATGACAGCTGACAGAATGTATGTCGTATGTTGCTATGGCGCGCGGGCCTTAATTTGCCATGTGAGATCTAGATGGTATGGCAACCCGGTAGCACTTTAGTGCGTATGCACAGTATAGATCAAAAGTCTTTGCACAGAAGACAAAAAGCTAGAAGTACTCTCTGGGAGCACTCGTAAATCACTATTATCTGAAGAACCGACGGGCCGATCGGGACGAAACTTGGCATGTAGCGGGGGACACTTACCAAATGAACACAGAAAATTTTTGGGAGCGATCGGGCCAAAGGAAGTGGGCCAAAACGGTATTTTAGTGGCCCGAAGCTGCTGATTGGTCAATCGGCTGTCCATCAAGTCACGCAAGAGTGAGTTTGGGGTTTAGAGGCCGTTTAGCACCGTTTCCGGGGCCGGAAAGCGTTTGGCCGAGTATTGGGAACTTTTCCAAGTATAATTAGGGGGTGGGGGCAGTGCCACCACCCCCCCAGTGGTGAGAAAACGTGTGGAAAGCCACGCCCACTTAGGTAATATGGTTTTTGGTCTATTAGGAGCACTTGGAATTGGTTTTGGGGAAAAGTGATGCCTACATCTCAAAGGGACTAATATATAGCGTATTTCACCACCTGAATCTTGGGACTTCCCCCTCCCAATCGACCTCCAGTGGCGTAAGATGGTTGCGAACCTAAAAATGAAGCTATCGAGAAATAAAATAGATAGGTATGTTGGGAAAATTTAGTTTAATGCTTTTTTCAAGAAATTTTTTTTCTCATACTCCCCAGTCATGGTCTAGTGATTTTGGCTTATTGCAGGCCTCTGAAAAGACCTATTAAGAAAGTAAAGGCATGGGCATGTTAAGAAAAATTATTTGAATCTATTTTGGAAGAAATTTTATTTCCTCATCTCCTCAGTCACGCTCCAGTGATTTTACGTTATATCTCGAGAATGGTAGAAGGTAGAGGTACCATATTTGGGTCATACAAGGTAGTTGAGGTCTAGTTTATGTCAAAAAAAAAGTCGTCACGGTTGAGTGATCACGGACCTTAAAATTTGAAAAATTCGACTCCGGTTAGGGGTGATCAGTTCATTACAGGGTATTTGAACTGCTTAATGTACTAGAGGGGTCGGGGGCACAGCGCCGGACGAATTTCCGCCATTCCCCAAAAATTGACAGAAATCGACTCCCATTAGGAATGATAAGGTTATGACGTATTATTTAAAATACCTAATGAACTGAAGTGGCTGGGAGCAGCGCGCCGGACGAATTTCCGCCATTCATTCTCGCTCTTGCGTTGAGTTGGGTAGCATTTCCATCGTCTTTTTCAAGTTATTACTACTCCAGTTGTAGTTGAGCACTAGCTTGCATGACGTTGTCAAATAGTTACCGTGCGGTAACTTCAAGTAAGGCTGGACCTAATCACTATTCCCGTGCTAAAATGAACGTGGAAAACATTTTACAAGTCACGTTCACTTTCGTACTGCTTAAATGCAATTCGCTTGCTAACAGCCAACCTCAGGGTAGCTGTCTAGTAATCTTGTATATATGTTTTAATATTATGTACTTGATCTATATTCTGCAATATAGAATTTATTATTTAAGACATCATAAATGTAGAAGTCATTTTGTTGAGTAAATTGAATAGATTTCACAACTTCTGGGAAATTATTGTATTGCATTGACAGGTAAATTGTTAAAACATGGTAATTCAAAAGCTTTGTAACTCTAGACAAAAAAGAAGTGTAATGCACTAATGTAATTTAAAATATTTGTACTCATTAAAACAAGTAAACGTTGATGTTACCATTTCATTACTGCAATAGGTGAAGCAACGCCGCGTCATCATTTGGGCCTTTTAGTAATGTAAGATTAAGAACACTGATTGCGAAAGTTGTACTGGTTTAGTTTGCCCTTTCTCCCACGACCTATCTGACGTGGATTGTATAGCATTGACAAAAATATTTGTCCGGCCCGTTTCAATACAATTTGAGTGATAAATGGCCAGCGGTCAAAAAAGTTTGGTTACTCCTGAAATCTAGTTTAACACCGAGATTACTAGCGTCAGTGCTCAATGCATCTGAATCAATTAACGCATTTGAATCCGAAGTAACTAGTTTTCAAAACATTGGTTCACTTTCATGTTAGGAAAGGGAAGAAAACTTAGATGATGACTGAAATAATATATAATTAAAGGCACTAAATGACATTCAATTCAATCTGTAAAAAGATAACAACTCATGATATAAAGGTGTAAATTAGTGAATATGAAATAACTGCAACTAGGTCAGTTTCGGCAGAAAAGCCCGTACGTTACGGTAACAAGAAATTCTAAATGAATCTAAATGTACGATGAACCAGATAGATAAATTTTGGGAATTCAACATTCCCGGTTTTAATAATTTCAGAAAAGGGAAATTTTAAATTGTACATGAAAAACATAAACTTCAAAATAAAATAGTAATAGAAATAAAAAGAAAGGTTAATTCAAAAGACTTTGTAACTCAAGAGAAAAAAAAATGCAAAAATTAATGCAGAAATGTACTTTAAAATATTTGTAATCATTAAACCAAGTAAACGTTAATGTTACCATTTCATTACTGCAATAGGTTAAGCAACGCCGCGTCGGCATTTGGGCATTTTAGTAATGTAAGATTAAGAACACTGATTGCAAAAGTTGTACTGTTTTAGTTTGCCCTTTCTCCCATGACCTACCTGACGTAGGTGACCCTAACAGAAATAAAAACTCCAGTCAGCACAGTTCGTGGGTTCACTAAGGGACTAAAGCCTACCTGCCACGACAAGGCAACAGTACTATAAGTAGGAAAAATATTTGTTTTTATCGGTGTCTGACGTATCGTAATTATTAATTTAAATATTAAAAAAGCATATTGAGAGTAATCATGTTACAGTGTTTTCAGTCGCTACAATTCCATTATTGTCATTCAGTCGAAGTTTTCCCAATCTTTCAACAACGAGATTGTCATAATAATACATCCTGTTTTCAAAGTCAATATTTCCTTTAACTAAATTTGACATAAAAGATAGCACGGTTTCAGGCGTAGAATTCCTTTGGACATGAAGATGTATTGTTCTTTCGACGTGTCTACGCTGCCTTTCCGCATCGAGTTCAGTAAGATCGTCCGAAAATCCGTAAATTATAGCAAGCGGAACCCAAGGCATGTAATGGCCTTGACTGGTAAAAGTAGTACCATTGCCTGAGTTGTGTTCTGCGATTCTGCGTTTGATATTGCGTCCCGTCTGTCCTAAATATGAAACGTTCGGGAAAGGTAGAGAAATGAGAAGATATACTACGCCGGACTTAAAAGCTGGTATTTCTCTTGCACTGAAGGAATAAGGGTAGTTGTAATCTCGTATTGAAGTGGATTGGGAAGTTGAATTTGATAGTAGTCTTTCATTGATATGTGTAGTCCAATAATCTTCGGTGTGTAATATTTCAGTCAGAGTACTCATTGTTATGGAACGGTTGCCAACAAAAAATAGACAAGACAAAGTTGGAACTCTCGATAGGAGAACAAGGAGTTGCGACTTTTCCCAGAGACGTAGATGACGCTTTTGTCGCTCTTCATTATTTATTTCCGTGGCGACTAGTTGACACGTTTCTCCCATAACCCGATGGATAGTATTCGCCTTATAAAATCTAATAGGTAACTGCAATCGTCTCGCATGTGTCAATCCGCTTAGCAGAACATCCGACGTATACCTGGGCTTCAGTATAAAAACTTTCCAATTAGAATCGATATTAGAAAAACAGCGTTCTCCTGGTGGAACTAGTTTAACTCGAACGGAAACTTCTGTGTTAACATCATTCGTCTCTTCAAAGTTTTCAACAACGCATAGCTGACCTTGCGAAAACTTGGTAGTTCCAAAATTATTGTTATATGTCAATCTTAGCACGGAGCCCTTGAACAGGAAAATTTCTTTGGGTTCTAAAACTTGGCGGGTTATTTGATTGCTTTGTATTGTGGTAGCTGTTCCCCAGGTAACACCGTCGTACACTTCATCGATAGCAACAAACTTTTTCAATTCCACATTAGGGTCGTCCGATTTACTCCTCAAAAATTCAGCAATGGCCATCTGTTCCGCTTTACGAGTCGACACAATCCGCATTGCTTCTTCTGGAACGTCATTCCATTTTTCCACAAAATTGCACGAAACACTTAGAATACTAACGACATCTCGAATTTGTTCTTCCTGTAGAGAAGTCTGTCGGATCAATGTTATTATTTTCTGAAGATGTACGTCACTCGCTGATCTTACAAAATGTTTCAGATGTATGGAATTGAAAGATGCCGTGAAGTGAATGGATGTCCAGAATGGGGCGCCCTGCGGAGGTGGAAGTTGGCAAGGATCGCCATTCGCTATTACGAACTTGTGTCCGAACGATTCATCGGAAGACATGATATCTTTCATACACCTGTCCAACATTGAATACATTTCCGCTGAGATGAGACCAATTTCTTCAAAGATGAAAATATCTGCTCTTTGTAACAAAACCATTTTCTTTCCGTATTTGCGTAAACCCTGCATCATGTGGCAATAAGTCCTGTCCGGTGATTTGTTGTATTTATCAGTAACTGGTATTGGAAAAGCTTGATGAATATGTATACCGCCAAGGGAGCGTGCTCGTTCGGAGGTCAAAGAGAGAAGCGTCACTCGAAATCCCAGGCACATTGCGACGAACGCAGCAAGCTGGATCAAAAACGTTTTGCCTGCACCTGGTGGTCCTACAATACAAGGAAATCTCTTGGCTGATGTATGTGGTTTGGGGCTCATGTAGGCTCGCAATGCATTAATCGTAGTCATGAAAGTGTCCATCTGTTCCAAATAGCTCTCTTTAGATTGATGATCCGATCTTGGTATTAAAGACGTAGAGGTAGGTCCCAATACATCTGTAATCCAATGTTGAAGTGGTTGTTCTAAATTGGCGTTGAAAACTTCCTCCACCGTCGGAAGGTTTGCTACACCGGCGAAAACTAAGGCGTTGCGTATTGATTCGATTAAGGTTCTTCTCCGAACGTTTTCTATAGTTGTTATTTCTTCATCAGCAGCTATTCGTATCGCTAACTCAGAAATAGGAGGTGTTGATGAAATTATTTCACCGGAACCGCAGACAATTTCCGTTATAATTTCGTCAGCTAATTTTGTTAGTCGTTCCAATTTTCTTCTAGTGATCGGAAGATGGAGACCTTCAGCATTCATATATAGTTTAAAAATGAAATTTGCATCTTGCTGGTTATAATCTGCTTTTCTTGGGAGAAGTCCAGCGCGTACAAAAACTTCTCGGAAAGAATTTGTGCCGCGAAACAAATCAAATTCCGAATCATAACAACCAAGAGTGATAATTAGATGGTAAAGGAAGTTGATCTTCTTATCGGGATATATGTACGAGTTAACAGCAACGGTTTCTTTGGTAGTTATGTCGTGAACAAAAATTTTCGATAAATGTTGGGTGTCGGTACTCTTTTCCAGTGAAAGACGTTTAAGAAGATCTGTGAGAAAGTTACGACTGGGCATATGGTGATCATCGAAATGTTCTGAAGTCTGCTCTTTATCCGTTAAGAAGTGTCCTAATTTGTGGATCCCAGATCTTCTTATTCTCACTTCATATCCACATGCATCGTAGAAAGGGCCGGACATTGGATCTAAAGGTAAATGAAAGTTAGATTCTAAAGCTCGGCGACCTGTGTAGATGAAAATTTCATGGTACAATAATAATTTATTGACAGACAACAGTTCTGGTGGTCGAATGTTATATCTTTCCGTATTGGAATAATTAAAATCTGAATTCAAGTACTCACGCGCATGCAACTGTTGATTAACAGTGAAGCGTCGCCAATGGGGAACGTTATCAGCTAATCTACAGTCGACAAAGGTTGATCGACCACCTGTCATGCCATAAGTACGATGCTGTCCGGCAGCTTTATTAAATTTGACTTTCCAAACACGATATTCAGGAGGATTAGTGTTTACATGTATAAAATCAGCTGTTGAGGTTGTGTAATTGGCGTCGTTGATGAAAGTATTCATCTCATAATATCCTATTTCAGTCACAGCTAAACCTTTTAATTTATCATTATTATTTGATTTGTTATGAAGTAGCTGTTGACCAGAAATTTTAACGTGATCTAATCCACCATCAATAACTTGTATATTACCTTTATCGAGTCCTTTCATATACTTACCACCACTGTGGCTCTCTTTACCTACGTGGTATTTTATTAAATACGATGTTGCGAATCGACGATCACAAGCTGTACAATTAAAACTAGATCCCAATGCGCATTGCAGTAAAGGTATTGTTGGTAGAAATGTCGGCGGACGCGTAGTTGGGTAGTGGTATCTTCCTCCCCGTAATCTCGGATCAGTCATGATCAATCTGGTGGACAGTGAACCATCTGGTTGTTGGCATTCAGTGGTGTTGGCAAATCCGATTTTTCGCATTCGTTCCATCATGTCGGGACAATAAAGATCAAGTTTCTCCTGAAAAAAGTACTTAGAACTGGTTGGGTGCTTAGGAACTCTACATACTACCTCTCCTTTGTCGTTTTTTCGTTTCATGCAGCGTTCGCCGGCTTTTGAACAATCATGTGTGGAAAGAATATTATATAGCTTTTTGAGGTCATCGAAATCAGAAGAATTTTCAACGATTCCCTTTTGAAGAAGTTGATGACGCGTGACCCCGAATCTCTCATCATTGAACACGGTTTCAGGATTGCAAGAAATACGATTCAGCGTTGTTTCTTCTTTTTCGTCGAATAAAGCAGCACCGATGTGGACGTGGGCTTTGTTGCCAGGAGATCCAGTTGATTGAAATTCCAAGCGGGCGAACATATGTTGTATTGGTCCTGCAGGCTGATCTGGGCTGTTAACAAGATACTTAAGAAAGACGTTAACGAAACGAAGCCACATTCTGTTAACCATACCCATATTAGCATTATAAATTCTAGGATAATCAGAACGATACTCGCTTATACTTTTCATGCTCTTGATTATCATCATGATACCAGGAGTCCTTAATTCGTTGCACGTCATTGTCATCCAATACTTCCAAGGATACTTTGTAGTGAGCGCTGTCAATTCACGAATTTTCACATTGCTGTCAGACTCGTCGTAAGGTAGAGGATTGTCTTGTACTAAACAGTGAAGAGACTTGTTTTCGGCTATGTGCTCAAGCCCCCGTCTAAAAACAAGTGCAGATGAATTATTGTTCAATTTGTCGTTGAGTTTTAGATCAAAATAAAAGTGCAGGTTTGAATGTTGCTGACTCGTTGGCAAGTTATGATCCCTAATTCGGATGCCAATCATATCGTCTTTAGATCTCAAGGATCTGCAGGTACGAGAACGTTTGGAATTACGAAAATGGGCCTGATGCATTGCGCCTACTGGAGAATTGTTTATCATTCCCCAAAAAGTTGTTGGAAGAATTTGTGCCTCAGGGAAGAGTAAAGAAACGGTTGTTGAATCATTGTTCCCAGCAAAGTGATGAAGTATGTTGTGAGATCTTGCATTTTTCCTCCGCCTTACGCATCTTTTTAAAACTTGGAAAGTATCATTTAACAAAAAATGTAAGGGAAAGATAGCGCTTTTTTCGTAGAATGAAGGTAGATTTGTCGATAGTGTATGTAATGGATTGGGAAGTGACTCATCATCAATAAAGTCCATGTTAGAATGATGTAATGTAATTAAACTATCATTATATTCCTCATCATTGCTTAAATCCTCATTGTCTACAGAATAATTGTCGGTATTGTCATAATATGTATCATTACCTTCGTCCATACTTACCGCACTAGCAGCGCGATTGTACTCACATTCCGCCTGTATTTCAACAACCTCACCATTACGCATTTCTGACATGAAATGACTCCGACATATTCCGACATTGCACTGTGTGCCCAAGTAGCTCCAGTGACACCCCCAAACAGCTTTATTGGTACAATTTCTTTTAAAGCATTGCTTGCAAGTGTTACGCGATTCCTTCATTAGAAAGGCATGATGGAGTGTATTTCCACATCTAAAATGTCTCTGCCCGTCTAATGATCTGGAAAGATGTTCCTCGTCAACAGCATTCGAAACAACCCCGTATATAGCTAGTTGCCACGAAGGTAAATGTGGAATAAAAGTGCACTTGCACATCTTTTTATCATCAACCAACCACCAACACATTGATTGATCCCACCTAAAATGGAATTCAAGTAATTATAACGAGTTAACATTTGAACAAAGTAATATAAATCTAGTCATCCCACCTGAAAGCGTGACCATGCTTGGAAGACAATAGCATAAGAAGACGCCTGTTCATGAATTGATGTGGAGGTGAGCTATGCCGATTTCGTGAAGTAGGGGGCTTGACAACCAATAACAGTTCTTCATCCTGCAATTCGGAAGAAGGTGGATCGCTGAAATCGTCTGTAACGTGCGTCACGCATTTCTTAACAATTATGGTCAAAATATCTGATAATATGTGTGCTTCTGAATATCTGTCACGTTGTTGCTGGGAAAGAACCGTACTTTTGAAGGTATTCTGAAAAACAAACTTTGACATACTAAGTTTGGAACGCGTTTGAAATTTTTCAATAAAGGCAACAGTACATAAAATTGAAGCGGTATATTTGTCGCATTCTTCAACTGCCTGCATTAGGGCGAAGTTGTATAATTGTCTGCAGTGGATAAGTATAAAAGTTACTAAGCCAGCAGGCGACCACAAGTTACCGCCATCATTACTAGAAGAAATCATTTCATTACTAAAATTAATCTTAAGCTGGCATCTGAAAGGTTTGCAGCCGAAGGAGTCGGCAGGATGAACAATTACTATAAACATCTTATATGGATCAATGAACTCACCGTCGGATTGTTGTAAAGTTTGTACTTGCCTTGCTCTTGTGGCTCGCCACATATAATAAGCGTCGATTCGCGATACGTACGTCCCCGAAGACAGATGTTTCGTAATGATCTCTTCGTCATAAACACCCGACTTTTCACGACGATGTACATTGTATGTCAATAAATACGATTCAGCATCTCGGCGTTTGTTGTGGTCTCCAAAAAGTCTTTTTCTGATATCGTGACGTTGACCCACTATGAGAGAATTAACTTTGTGATGGTCTTGCGAAATGTACATTTTAGACGGATTTGGATTTAGTGAGCACGACGACATCCCGAAATGTCCACCACGTACGTCTATTACGTGTCCAGATGAATTCCATTTCCTTATTTTTCCCAAACGTTTTATATGAGGAATAAGAGTGCACGGAGCTAAAAATTCGCATCCTTGTTCAGCATTTGGTCGAAGAACGGGGTTTGTTGGTGGATGAATTGTTGGACGCTTGAGAGAATCGTGCTTATCTTTACACCATAAGATGCTTAATCCGTATTGATCAGATATTGCCATTCCAGCTGCGCAGATATAACTTTCTAGATATGTAGTTGGTAAAGGTGGCCAATCTGGTCGTGCTCCTCTGAATGCGTCCGGGTCTGCTCCTGATATTTTGAGATCGATTGCACCTGCTAAATAATGCAAAAATGGAATGAAATCACAATCTTCTACAAATTCCCAACAACCCAAGGGACATATCACGTTAGCGACTGGAAATGTATTAAAAGCTTCTTTGATGTATCCTATGTCATAACTTGCCACAAGAGAATTGAATTTATAAATGTCATGAGTACGATCCAAAAACCGGCACTCTATATTATTTAAATTCATTGTACGCCACATTTCCTTGATCGTTAGTGGCAAAAGAGACCATACTTTATTGGAAATGTGGAAGTTGTCACCGCTTAGTGACAAAGTAGACCAAATTACACTGGGCCAAGAACAAAACCAGGATGATAAAATAGTATGAAAAGTAGAAGATAAATACTTACAGCACAGATCGCACAACAATACCTGTGGCGTGGTTGTTATACCACGCATAAGTGACCCGTATTTTTTTCCTTTTAGCGGCTGAGACCTTGCACGCAAATTGATATTATATTTCGTTGTATTGTTCCTGTAACAATTGGCGCATGTCATGGTGTCAAGTGTAAGACCTTGAAGTGTTGTTGGATATTCCGGTTTGTCTGGCCTTTCCGTTCGCTTAGGTAGACGGTTGCTTGATGTCATTTGTAAAGTCCTTGTTTGTTGATCACTTTCCGACAGGCCTTTTGATTCAACGTCTGATGATATGTGTGCTTTTGCAGTATATGTGTCTTCAAATGTGAATCTTGCCTGTGGAAGGATTGCACAAAAAGTGGAATTGGCTTGAGCTAGCATTGCAGAAAACGTGCTACCTTTTCCATAGCAAACCCTCGTTCCCTCATTTACGTCGAATATTTCAATGGTACCAAACAGGCTAACAGCTGTTGCTTTGAAATGTATGGTATATGGTACAGAATCGTTTAGAGTCCCTCGCAACATGTCACCGTAGTCAGATGTATCAGAAGTAATAGCATGTTCACGCTGATACTCGCCAACGTTTTTGGATAGTTCCTTCCAGCACCGACGACGCAGTGATTTGACCGTGTATCGAAACGTTGAATAACATTTCAATGAATCGATAAGAGCTTCGTAAAATCCATGTGGTGGTGATCTCTGAAGATGCACAAAATGATTATAGAGGTTGCAAGATTCAAGCATGTTCATGATCCGACGAGTAATACTTCCATCTACATCCATTGGGTAGGAACTGTTGGTGATATTGCTTCCAGTCATTGTAGGCTGTTGACTTTCTAAAGTACAACTTGTAAAATCATTAGCAGGTGGATTGGCATGCAATGTGGAAGAAGGGAGAAGGGCTACATAGTGTAAGTCATTAGATAAATACCCAATGTTAATTACTTGCGAAAAAGTACCAAAAGAACCAAAATGTTTCGTTCGGTCATCCCATAAACGAATTGTTATAGGAAATATGGAAGCTATTGCGTAAAAACAACACGTTTGGGCCCATTCACGAGTAGTTCGTGTTAGGGAAACAAAACTTGTAAATTCTGACTCTAGATCATCAGAATCGGTTTCTAATAAATTTATATAAAGATGTGCACGAGAACTGAGTTCGTCTGCAACAATTGACCTAAATTGCTTGACATTATCCGGTTTATTAGGTAAGCCCAAAGATCGCATACCATCTAGCATTGAAATGTAGGCGCAGTCACCATCTCCAGTATTATTTAATAAATGAAAATTGTTTAAACGACAGACCTGTTGAAGCCATACCATACCACCTGGATTTTGAAAGGATCCATCGCGAAGTCCGTCAGTGCACGGCGCAGGGGCGGTTGTCGGTAACAAATCCCGAACTGTGTCTGCGAAAACCGGATAGCGATTCGATACTTGTGCTGTAGAAGTCCCAGTTTCCTCTACGTTCTCGTGAGTCGGTTCATTAGAATTGCCTTCATTGCCTGTTGCTAACCATTGGAGCAATTTCATTTCACCATTGGCTTCAACCAATGATTTCACGCCACATGTTCTCACGTTGTGCTGAGTAGAGTTGCAATATGAGCATGAACGTCTGGCGCGTTTTCGTCCAACCATTATGCGCAATACCTGAATAATGGTAATAAATATTGAAGCAACAGTACGAAAATTAACGCAAATAATATTTTATTTTTCTTACCTTTAAATAGTAGATGATCTTCAAAATATGGAAACACGCCAATGAATGCACTAACTGCTTGCACTTGTTGCTGTATAATCAGTTATAAACATATAACGTAATGTTGAAGTTTGAATATTAGCTTATGGAGCTCAATAGATGTACTGGCATCAAGATATTACTCTGTAAAAAGATGTTATGATAATTGATAATGAGTATAAATTGGCAACAATATGAGCATTTTAAGGTGACGGTGAGAAGGAGTATGCCATTTAGCAAGATTATTGAATCGCCAAAGCACAAAAGATGCTAGTTTCGAAAATGTTTGTTATGTTCCGGGTAAATAACGCATTACATCTTATACAACTACATAATGGTAGACTACAACATAACTTCATAACTTCGGAAACATGGTAGCAATATTCGTTAACGGGTACAACGCTAACACTACAAGTGTCCAAGATATTATAAGCATTTGTGCAAAAATCTGAATTTAATTTTTAAAAGGTAACTAAATACTGTTAAACTTTATAGCAGAAAAATAGCACTGAATCATGAGCGCAATGAGAATATAGTAAATGACACCTGTACCTACATCCCATTATGTCCTGATATGCATACACGTATAATTACAAAACGGGAATGTATTCTGAATAAAAGATTGGTAGCTCAAAATATTGACCGATATTACGCCTTTATTATTAAAGAAGTAAGTTCTAAGTTATATTACAAATTTTCATGAATCCCAGCAAAATATTGCTATGATCTGATATGAGAACCTGTTTACAATATAACAGCTAACTGCAATCGCACAAACGTTAGAAGGATTGAAGGATACTACATCATGACCAAAAAGGTAACAAGTAAATTGAAAAAAACTATATTCCTTGAGGTTTCGATCTGGATATTATTATGGATGGCTCTCACCCTCAGTGCCTTACTAATTTGAAATTCGTAAATTGCGATGAATGAACGATTTATATAGCAATGTATTGTCAATTATGAAATATATATGACAGATAGATAGCGTTAGGAAGAAAGATGGAACAATGAAAGACTTGATAACATATCGGGCGCACGCAAAAGAAGTATTTAAAATAAACAATGCGGGTGAAATGACGCAACAGAGATATTGGAGACTGCAGGATTAAGTGATTGTCAGACAACTTTAGCGTAAAAGTTACGATCGACATCCTGCAGTCTTTGTCGCCCAATATGAATTTAATTTAACTTAAAAATTACATGACGTATTACGTATTTGCTATGTAAAGTATGCCTGTGATATTTCAGTTAATCAGTATTACCGAAGAAATGGAATGCTATGTCCCACAATTTATTTTTCATAATCTGAAATCGTGTGCCGTATCTAAGATTATACATTGTAAACCAACCAACCAAGTTTGTAAACTAACTGTCTTAAATTGCTAAGAAGAAGAATGTGTTAATCCGGCAAGGAGTCCTTCTCTAAGTTTCAAGTTAAATAGATATATGATAAACAATCTGTTGAAGTGCGCTAAAATACGTAACTGAGAAGTTTAATTATTATTCAGATTCGTAGTGTACTAAAAGCATTGTAGGCAATGAAATTGAAATTGGTCATTTCGTGCAGTTCATGGACATGGCAAATTTTTAGCACATGCTTGTAGACTTTATGTCATAAAATTAGAGAGGGTAATTGTCATACTGAGTCAGCGTAGTGAATGCCGTGGAACTATTATGAGGAGACATTTATTCGCACTTCATACGTACATCATCTATAATTAACGTAAACAAGTACAATAATCTAATGCTGCACGGATACTAAATTAAAGGTTATATTATTTATTTTAGGTAAAGTTAGAGCACAATCCTGCAAAATATGAAGTTGAATTTAACCTGAAATATATTAGTAAAACTAAAACATACTGCGACACGAGCAACAGAAACCCATTGAATATAGTTATGAACAGTGGCTAAAGATTTCATCTAAATATTGAAATGACTGAGATGAATCTATTTTATTATGCAAGTGCTAACTTAGTGGTAGGAACGTCCAAGATAACATTAAAACGATTTTTAAAGTTGTAGATGAATAAATACACTGGCTAAATTTATTATGATATTCAAAGATGAAATACTGCTTAAGTGTAAAAATATCATGAAATATGAAAAACAGGAAATTTAGTAAATGTCAACTACCAACATTCCATTGGTTACTGATCTGAATATTATAATTTCTGGACTCAGCTCATATCTGTTTCGTAAAGCATGAACGATTTAACCGGCGCAATACATTCCAATTTAAAACGTTAACTTATATAAGGATTGCTGCAAACGTTATCTGGAAATGTATAAAACAGCGTATAGCGAAAATAATGGAATGCTTGATAACAGATAGAGCGCGCGTAAAAGATTGTTTTAGAATAAGTCATGCAAGATAAATGTCATAAAAGACGTGTATTACTCGTGTTAACAATTGATTATTTGACATCTCATGCGGGAAATTTGACATGAACTTCCCGGGGCGTTAAATGTCAAGCGTGAATTCTATTTATCATGCATTTGAAATGATCTATTTCGAATTCATTTATGCCAAAGTTACCAAAGCACGTATGAATTTTTTTTTACTTACAACATTAACCACTTAATAATGATTAGAATGTGTCAATTCCTATCAGGTACAAAATGAGATCGGATTTAAAAATGAGCGGAAGCCATCCTAACGTTATTCTACGTGAAACTTGGTGACCATTTTGCAGAAGCGGAAAATATTGAAACGTGTGAACGAAATGTTAAGTGTGGAGAAAGTCCGAATAAATGTTTTGGAATGCTGAATATTTAATCGAATTATTTTACACGTATAGTTGTAATCAAGATCATTTATTTTAAATAAAAGATTGAACAGTTGGAAATATAGAATGTTATCAAGCTATTACACTAAAACGTGTTACAGTAGTGAGTTTTTTTTTTTTATGAATCTCATTTACATATTGACACAATTATAGCTGGTCATTTTCGAATGATTTAACAATCGAATCAAATATTTTTTTTTGGAATCGTATCGAATCTCGAATACTTGGGAGGTATATAATTGTATTCGTCTTTTTTATTGTAATTGGTCATGTCGACAAATGAATTACTCACAACATAGAATACATCACTCAGACAGAGTGCTGAGCGTTCACAAACAATAAGAAACACGTTTTAATGAATATGTCAATACAGAAAATATTCGTTTCTGAATTGCGTTTAAAAGATATGGCTCCGATAAATAAATGTTGGGAATCAACCTCGCCCATTGGCGAAGAGGAAAAAAACAAGATGGCGGCAATTCGAAATTTTGCTCTGAACTGATCGGAATAATTTACTATTCGATTAGAAATGCCCTGCCCTAGCCGCAATCATGTCTAAGCACCCGTTTTATTTTATTCTGCTAAAGCTACCAACAGCAAAAGCTTAATAAATAAATAATATGATCTAGCGGTAAAAAGAAACTATTCTATGATGAAAAAAATAGAAGTGATATGCACATACCAGCATTCCCTTAGGTGTCCTGGATACTGTATTGATGGCTTTCAACCTATTATATGCTATTACACTACATGAGTGGGATATATATATATATGTATGAGAAATCTCATCTAAATATTGCCACCATCTGATCTAAGCACCTGTGGGTAATCTGCCCACTTTTATCAGAAAAACGTCAAAGTAGACATGCGGACAATTGAAATGACATAAAATGAATGCGCTGGCCAACTTTGAATTTCATCGACAGGTGTCCCACAGCTAAAGATTAACACCTATATATATATATATTAATATTTAGCAGTTTAAAGATGCTACATAATGGTCGCAATGGTAAAATAGTAAATTGCAAAAACTTACATTCTCTTCGTTTCTGATATATTGAAGGCTCTCCACTTAATACTTGTTAACACGCTTAACGTATGCGGTCTCGTCTGAATATATAAAAAATTTAAAACGTTATATAAGGGTATAGCTTTTTAATTATGAAATCGATGAAACAGTAGGATATTTCAACGGAAAGGCAGTTAGAACAATAGAAATGAGTGAAATATAGTTGAAGTCGCCACATGTGTCTTGGAAGTAATTGAATGGGTTTGTAACCATATCGAGGATGTCTATTGTTCATCTAAAAACGATTGATTGTCTGACGACTTTAGCGGAAAAATTACAATTGACCGACTCCCCGTTGACTTTGTCGCCGAATATGAATTTCATTGCCGTACATTTGGAATGGGATATTACCGAAAAAAGTAAATGTTATGTCGTGCACCTTAATTTTGCAATGGTTTCAAGTGGTCAATCACAGAGATACAGGAATTAAACTAAGTTTTTATGCGTAACAAAAAGTTTTTTAACATGTTACAAACTATTCAAAATATTAAGTACACATCATTCACACAAACAAGGTTTGAAACTTTACAATAGTTGAAATAGAATTTGAAAATGTTACTTTGACAATATACCAAGTCCGTACAGTCTTCCTTTCCAATAAACAATGTTGTAATGTAAACGTTAAAGACTCGACTGATGTGCATTATCAAAATGTGTAAGATGGTAGAGTGTCCTATTTAGCACTATAAATTGTATTTAATTGAAAGCTTATGAAAAACACGCAAAGTAATTGTAAACAAGGATGAAAAATAGACAATATTTTAATTAATTCGTAACACTGATATTGTGCCACCACGAAACCACGACCGTCAGTAGGTAATGATGCAAGAATTGCACTGCACTAAGCAATGACTAAAGATATATTGCGATTTCATTTTTTCGCTCTTCCTCCATGCAAAATCTTAGTCTATAAACGGAGCAAACGTATTAAAAATATGATAACAATTTCAGTAACATTTCAATTAAGAAAAGCTTTTTAATTGAAGAAGAAGCCGGCAAAATTATGATTTTCGCCTTTGTTGGTTTGAGTGAATGGTTAAGAGTTTTAGGTACAATTTCAATCAGGCTTACAATCGTTTACTTTATGATTGTTTGTTCTGTTGACAACACAACTTACCGACAACATACTGACTTGTAATGAGTGACATTCACTCCCCTTTACAACCGTAACCTTAGCAGTTATACAAGAGCAACTCATAATAAATATTTATTTAACATGGAACTTAAATAGCTTCATTATCGCCTGTTAACTGATTACTATCGGTTTGACACAAAATAAAGACGGTACCTATATTTCAAAACCTATATATTTTAATCGCTGAGAGTTTTTCCTCAAATTTCAAATGGAATAGATATGTAATAAGACATTTGCAGTATCTTTTACACCGCAATGAAATGAAGAACTATCGCAGGATGCAATTTTAATGTTTGTCAATACGTATATCATATTAAAAGATTGTGAGATAATTTTATCGAATTCTACCGGTCAATTTTATTGCTGTATGGCAAAGCATTGTTTTTTTGTCTGTTTTGTGATGCCTATTTAAAATCCTAGTATAGTCCGAAACATTCAAGTATGGCAACCTATTATAATGGTAAACCAACTGTCTTGAACTGATGTTGGGCCATCAGTTACTAAATTTTAAGTTTTAAATTATTATGTATATTCACACATATTAATGAGCGTGAAATAAATAAAGATGTTGCAAAAATATAAAATTAATTTATGGAAATGATGTCATCTGAAGCGTTTCATGGAAAAATTTACATATTCAAAATGGCACATTACCTGTTGATAAATGTAACAAAGCGCAAAAATTGCAAAATTTACAAATATTTTATAACTGTGTCACAGGTGGCCAAGACTAAAATAAATAAGTAAAGTAGTTGTAGAAATATATAAATGGACTTGCAAAAAATGGAGCTGTTAAAATGACTCCCAGAGCCCCGGGTTGGACTGTTGTAGTTGACCCTTTCCCTCGCGAACTTTCTTGCATGGGCGACCCTTACAGGAGTTGGAACTCTAGGCAGCACAGTTCGTGGGTTCACTGAAGGGGATTAAAGCCTACCTGCCACGACAAGGCAACAAAATTTTTTTTAAACGTGCATTTGTCATAAACCTCAGATATCCCGCTATGCCTTAGTCTGACTTTAAGCCATGTTGTTTTATTTAGAACGATTTTATCTTCGATAGTTCCTCGCGGATGTCATTTTTTCATTTCCGGCATTCGGAGCATCGCTTGAAAGATATGATAATGAAAATAGACATAAGTGTTAGCATACATACTGCGTTTTCATAATTCAACAATTAAGCGGTTATGAAGTGCATGTTGACTGTTGAGCTACCCTTACAAGAAGTTTGGGAGATTTCAATCATAATGTTCAGATTAGAACCATGACGAATGTTGATAATTTAAAGTTATTTATACGCAAGGCGAGAGTTGTTGCAATTGTTTAAAAAACCAAGAAAGCGGATGCTAATTAATTTTGCGTCGATTCTATTTTTGATCTTACCAGTTCGTTGTCAACAGTAAATTTACGTTAGAGATAAATGATAAATTTTTATCTGATTTTATTCAACTATTATCTGATTTAGTTGTAAAGTTAAAGGTGAAACGAAAATATTACACTTTTCTCGTTGTTTAATATTTAACAAATAATATAGTTAATCGGGATAACATAATAGAGTAAATAGTTTGTATTCTGGGGATAATGTTGAGGCGTCTGGTAAAGTGCGGAGTCAGCGTATTGAATGTCGTGGAACTGAAATGGTTAGAGTGAATGTAACATACATTTAGTTTAACTGATCAATACAAACTGAATTGTAATTTACCGTATTTGCTACCTTTACGACATTAAATTTAACAGTGCAAACTGAAATAGCTTTATTATTTTTTTTTCGTTTAAAACCGATAAATTCTAAGCAATGAAAGTGTTATCCTTAAATTGCAGATAAAAGAGATATATTATAGGAGTGATAAAGTAGTTGTCTGTTAGAGCGGGCGGAAATGAGTTCGTCACTCTTGAAAGCTGCTCATAAGTTCAGGTAATCAAAAAATTGCAGACTTCAAATTGGAGAATAAAAAGTTAACAAATAATTGCGTCTCTGCCTGTTTTGCCATGTCGTTTTAAATTCCCAGCTTGAGCACATGCTATTATCTAAATTTTGATTGGATGCATAAATTATTGCAAGTTCGTAAAGTCAATCTATCAATTTCAAAGGTCGGTAATTTATAGAATTGAAAAAAGGCAAGTGTATAGAAAAATATTTCAATGGAATTTTTGGCGTCTCTTTGACATCTCTTTAATGCTATATTTAAAATGTGCAATTATATTAACAAATTTTAGTTATAAAAATTAAAAAACTTGGTCAGCTGTGTTTGTTTTATTTATGGAGTCGAACAAGCATAATATTCCACCTGGTCATATTTCCAGCACCTCAAATTTCATCAGATAATATTAAGAAAAAATAATTAAAATGCATGATAAACTAGTTTGCTAGCGTTTTAGCATTTCAGAGGTTTTGAAAATTTCAGAGAATGTTGTGTGAGAATGTAGATTAATTGAGGGAATAATTTTTTAAAATAAATTGATTAATAGAAATATGTGTAAGGAACTTTGAAAACTGTTGTAACGCAATACAGGACATTTTTCAATTCACAAACTTATTTTGCAAATTTATAATCACTTAATTAACAAGGAAACGTTAATGTGACCGACAGTATTCTTTTATGCAAAACAGCGTCCAATTATATAGACAGCAAGTACTTCGCAATGTGTTTGTTTTACTCGAACTAATATAGTTTACTTCAGAACGACCTATGCGCACCTTCCACAAAGGGTCGAAGTTACCGAATCACATTCACAGCAATAAGTAAGTATTAGTACAGCGGTTTCTCAGATCACGTCATAACGTTTATGCGTTCCATAATACCTTTACGAAGAAGACGAGGGATCTCATAAATATTTGTTAAAATTAGAACCATAGTGAATGTTAGTAGATATAAAGAAATATACGCTCAAAGGTATAGTTGTTGCAATATATGTTATATAGAGAGTGCTCATTACTTTCACATCGGCTCTTTCACTTGTCCATGGAGTTCGCTATCAACATTAATGAAAGACATTTACATTATGTTCCATCCCGAACATACGCACTACATAGGCGTTGGAAATTAGTGGAATTGTAATTTTTATCAGTGGAGGGCAAAATGAATACCATTTCTTAAATTTACTAATATAGATTAACATTAGTTCTGAATTCTGGAAATCCTATCGTTGGCACTCGCAAATAAGTATTTAAGCAAACCGCAGTTAGCACCTTTTTTTTAGGGATGTACTTTTGATGAGAAGTGTATAAAATAGTGCAAACGTCACATTAGCACAATATTTTATTTATTACAGGGATTAATTAAAAATATGTTCGTAACATTAAAAGCCTTTAATTTTAGAGGTTTGTAACATTTTAAAAGTATACGACACGATGGCTACTAACGGAATACATTTACATTATGCGTCATCGCGAACACACGCACTGCATAAGCGTCGGAAAGTAGTACAATTGCAATTTTTATGAGTGAAAAAGAAACTGAATGACATCTTCAAAATTTACTGATATAGTTCAGGTCCTTAGTTCAGCTTTCTGAAACCCGTCTGTTGGCACTCGCAAAATACCCAAGTATTTAAGCAAACTGCAGTTAGAAACTATTTTTCAGGATATCCTTCTGATAGTAAGTACTTAAATAGTTGAAACGTCACATGAACACAATATTTCAAATTTTACAGGAATTAATAAAAAATGTCCGTCATTTTAAACGATTTGAATCGTAGAGGTTTAGCACACGTTAAAAGTACAGTACGCGATGGCTACGCAGAGGTTAGCTTGGACGACATCACGTTGCTAGATGAAGAAGACACAAAACCCAATACCAAAATTATCGGTGATATTCTGCATGTAGCAGTTCCTGCGGAAAGTTTACCGTCGGAAAGCGAACGGAAATTTTTGGGATCATCGGACACCAAATGGGAGAATGAAGGCTGTTATCGCTTAATCTACATCAAATTTGGTCATGACATCGCATGTGTCGTCGCGCAAACCTCGATGAAGTCTGTTACGCTACGACTTGAAGAAACGCTGTCAATTGGGAAAGCATGTATTGTTCTTGAACCAATTTGTGTACGGTTCTGGGGTTATGTTCCCGTTCTTCGAACAAAACATCCAATTCTACCAGCATCTGTAGAATCGAACAGTTCTATATTTGTGAACTTACCAGTTGGCAGATTGCTGCGAGGAGTGATGAAACCTTTTTGCATATACCAGGAACGTCTCAAAGTTTTAAGTGTTGGGTTCGTCGAGGTTTGTTTACACGAATTATGCGATGGCCGTTATGGGAAAAACTGCCCAAGCAGCAGTTCTGGTGCGTGTGAGCTTGCTCCCGCGGTTACGCTAACATTGGATGACACGTACAACACCGTCACGACTTACATAAGTAGAAAGTTAGGACTGCTAGTATTCGAAAGAGAATATTTGTTAAATAGTTCTCATCTAAATCGAAATTACTTCGATATGGGTAAATTTCTAAAGTTGGTTTTGACGCAGCACTGTGGTTTTAAATTAACTGGATGGATCAAAGCCGAATGCGGTGACTCAAACAATGCCGGAATGATGCGCCAGGTTAATATTAGTCTACTTCATGTTACCGGCTGCGAACTTCCTCGTTACAATATGCAAGATGAGGCAACTTAACTCTTTGAACTCTGAATCCCCAGAACGACGCTACTCTCTCACCCTGACCTCCCACGGCGTTGCATCGACTTGACAAGTAAAAAAATTGTAACATCCGTAATTTTAAATGAATATAACTTCTAAACCATTATATATCAGATGGTCTGTAATATGTAATATAAAAGCTTATCTAGTCTTTTATTTTTAACTGGCATTATTTTTTACGACATGTTTCGATGAGATGTGTAAGCCTATTTTTAGTCCGATCTACTAATTTTTTGTATTTTGGTAAGAATTAATACCTTTTTTAGAAATGAATCGCCAATATAAGTAAAATTTTGAAAAGTATCCAAAATAACCTTTCGGGGAATATACGAATGACTTTCTTAACATACGCATAACTCATTTTATTGCAGAATTTGTACTATCGATTCCAATGGTTTGCGAACAAAATTGATCAACTATTTTGACGCCAAGTTTGGGTAACGGCGGCGACGACATTGTCGTGATAACGTTCATGCGACGTTTCGTGCGTAACGCTTTGCGTGAGATAGATTGCGCAATTGAACATCTGGTCAGACAAGCTTTAATTTCAAGTTAGTTTATTATGTAGGGAGCTTTATATGATTCATACATATAATAAATGTCTTGGAGATGGAATGGTTCGAGTTCATGTGAAATACTATATAAAGAATAATTTAAATCATGCCTGCAGTTGAACACTCGTTAATTTTAAGTAATTTTGTTCTGTTGTAAACTTTGACTAAATGATCGGCAACACACTGACTCATAATGACCTTCATACGGCCTTTTACATGACTTAAACAAAGCTATTTCAGGGAATCGCAGCTCATTGCAAAGCTGTCGTTAACCTAATACTGAAACAGCTTCATTATCGTCTGTTCAATGTATTATTTTCGGGCCGCCACAATTAAAATAGACTTTATAATGTACTCAAATAAGTTTTGTGTCTCGTTAAACCAACTGAGAAGTTGTTTTTCACATTGAAGAGTCTATTCCGAAAGATTACAGACTTTCATTGCTATGTTAACGCGTTTGTGTATTATATTACCAGTTTGAGAGGTGGTTTTATTGAACTTGGCGGTTGAAAGTTCGAGGGAAATAATATTGAAATTAATGAAAATCATTTAATTTTTCATATACGCAAAATAGCATGCGTATGAATCAATTGAAAAATATCTGTAACACAAAGCATTGTATATGTTGGTGCGTCATTCGTTGGTATGTCATTTAAATGGCTTACCCTTGATATTAAGCCGTATTGTATGCATAAAAACGAGCGTTCAATATATCATTTCAGTTTGTTAACGAGAAAACGTAGTTATCATCTCTCATATTTTTATCTCTTGGTCACTTTTAA